CGTCCCCCGTCCCTCCTTCCCCCCTCCCCCCTGCCCTGGCAGCCCCAGCCTGTATGCCCAAACCAGCGGAAGAGCTGGAATGGACCTGGCCTCCGCAGTCACAGTAACGCTTTTTGATACAACCATTACCCTGATCTCTACGGGGGTTAAGGGACCGTTGGGCAGTGGACTGAGCGCCCTCCTTCTCGGCTGCTCCTCCGTGACACGCCAGGGGCTGGGACTGTTTGCATTGCCTGGTGTTATCAATGCGGACTTTATGGGGGAGATTCAAATTACGGTATGGACTCCTACTCTGTGTCAGATTCCTGAAGGCTCACGTATTGCACAGTTGGTGCCTTTTCAGAGCCAGGTGCTGCGATGCCTGGCGGATGCACGCGGAGATGGTTGTTTCAGTTCCACGGGGCCTGCACAGATCATGTGGGCCCAGAGGGTTTCCCATGTTACAGGTATCCCGCATTCTCTTACTAGCCAAGCCATCGTGGAACGGGCCCGTGGGATGCTCAAAGCCATGTTGCAAAAACAAAAAGGGGGAATGGCCCTAGGCACACCGCCAGAACGTTTAGCAAAAGCATTATATGTGTTGAATTTTTTTAAATCGATGAACGGACAGAGAACCAGCCATGATAAAACACTATGCCTCTCTCTTGGAGGGACTGCAAGCAGTCTCTCCATGGGAGAAAGCACAGGTGATGGTAAAAAATATGATGAATAACCAATGGGAAGGTCTCTACCTGTGGGAGAATTTTTAGAGATCAATGGTCACCCTGTGAGCACTCCAAGCACTGAGAACTTGTTGACGACAGTGTAAGCTTCAAGGAATGTCGAAGGTCAAATTGTGTTTTGTGAATGGCTGAGTTATGTGGAGGGAGGAAAGAACTGTTGCTGAATGTACCGATAAGCAGGATTTTTGAGTAAAACATAGAAGTAGATAACTATGCGAGTGAACAGCTGGGGCTAGCCAGTCATATAGTAGAGATGCTTGTTTGAACTATGCATGTAACCAATTATTGCTTGAGTGTTGCGTGGCGCGGGAGAAAATTGTCTATATTAGCTGAGCTATCTGTGTAATAAAGTGGCATTTACCCTGATCATATTGGTCGTTGTGTATCTGTCCGAGCTTCCGCATCAACACGTACCCACTAATAACTTGGGATCGAGGATATGCTCGTGTCTCCACAGATACTGGACCAAGATGAGTCCCGGCGAGATGGGGCCGACCGTCACTGCAGTCATCCTCGTCGTCATGATGACAGCAGAACCAGGAGATTGGATCCCACCAGCACCCAAGGAAAACATCTGTGTAACTTTGGCAAACAAGACCGGCCAGGACACCCTGTGCCTTTTGCTGCCTACCCCAGGAAACCCCTTTTCAACATGTCTAGTCGGTGTCCCAGCAGACAACTGGCCAA